GTTGGTAGGGGGGGGGCGCCTAGTAATAGTAGTAATATGCTCTCGTAATAGCAATAGCAATAGTAATAGTAATAGGAATAGTAATAGTAATGGTAATAGTGATAGTAACAGTAACAGTAACAGTAATAGTAACATTCATAATAGTAGCAAGACTAGTAGGCCCCTACAGTACAAAAGGCCGGCCTTGAGCCACTGCACTGGGCAGTGCAAGCCTGGCCGCTTCTGGCTGATATGTGCATCCTCATGAGGTATGAATACTGACAGTAACAAGAATAGTAGTAATAATCATGGTAGAAGTAAGTAGAATACTGACAGATAACTTTATTAAGCTTATTGGTGGTGAGTAGGGAAGACGGGGATTTAATCTTTATGTAATCCCTATATAATGACTTCCCCTCTTCCCCTGTAACCCCCAGTAAGCAAGGGGTATAGGGGGCGGCTTTCCTTGTCCCACAACTCAGCATTATCGCCGTTGACTGTCACCCAGGCCACAGGGCTGTCCCTTCGTAGAAGCAAGACTGATTAGTTTCCATTGTCTTTTCCATGATCTCTATATAACCCTATACAACGCCTATATCAACCCAATAGAACCCTAAAATTACCGCATGGAATTGCCTGAAGACTAACAATTCACGGAGTTTTTCCGGTTTAAGTAGATCAGATCTTCTTCTCCCACCTTTTGGTGTTGGTGATTTTATCTCTACCCCTTGGCGTGCTTTGTGGGGCTGTTCACGCGTCTTCACGCCTGGAAGCTTCTACCTTGCTATCATATTTGCAACTACAAGTGGGAGACAGCATCAATTCCCCAATGTTCTTATGGCCCCACCTGCACCCCGAAGAATGGTGGATGCGACATGATGCTCATTGATTCGCTGCGCACCGCGCACGACATGGAGCTTAGGCTGAAAAGATACCCCATGGCTGGCTTGCCGGACCTAGGTCTTAACACCGGGTATCCCCTCCCCTAAAATGAAGCACCCGGCCTCTTAATCTCAAACATTCTTATACGGTGGATGGACGACATCTTGCACTACCTCAAAGGCTCCTTGCTGCATGAACCTCTGCGTCTTGGGTCTTGGGTTCTGCAAGTGGTGCAAGATTTCCGCCATGCACAGCAGGAGCTCAGCCATATTGGGCGCCGCATTCAATCTTTTATATTGTGGTGCGGCGGGGGCGTTCAAATTATTGGGTAAGTGATGTCACATGTCATGCTTCATAAGATGACAGCAACAAAGCTGGCTCTGGGACTTAGTGGGCCAGGGGACTCCAAGGTCAAACGCTTTGACAGGCAAGCTAGAGCTACTTACTGGTGGTTATTAGGGAATAAGGGAACGAATTATAGAGGGGCTACATAGGGAGTATATATTCCCTTATTCCCTACTGACCACCAGTTAGGTTACCTGGCAGATTTCTCGAATTGCGCAGTGCATGTTGTGTAGACTGTACCATAACGAAAGTTGCTAATTTGATTCCACTCCGTCTTTGGCCCGCTGTCAGACGAGGTCACTGCCGCCTGTGAAGTCTTGGTCATCGCAGCTGCCTTGAAACAAAGGTTGAGTGTCATGCATGCTCGGACGCTCCCCATTATGGGTGGTTGTCAAATTTGTGGTCCCTTATTGGATCCCCATTTTTTATACGGCACCATACGGCACCTAATTAATATTTAGGGTACCCAAAAAGGGGTCATAATTTTGACAACCACCCATATGGTCCTGGATTGTCAAATGTGCAGACTCCAGGAACCGATTCTCGAATACGGCACGCTCACCGCGCCCGACTCAAAATCAAGCTGGAGAAGTCTCGAGTGTGGGGTAAATACAACCCATATTAATCCCAGTTTCCATTTCATTTTCCATTTTTCATTTCCATTTGATTCTCCATCATCCCAATGTTAACCCAACATACTATGGTAGTTTCCATTTTCTTTTCCATTAGCCCAATATTATCCCAATATTGTTTAGGCCCCTAGGGTGTTTGGCAGACATCAAACTGAGGCTGTCTGGCACGTTACCTCGCTGTGGCATATTGGGGATTTCCCAAAATTAGGGCTACCTTTTTGGGGGGTTCCTACAATAAGGACTATAGTATTTTGGGATCTATATTGGGGTCCCCTCATTTTGGGAAACTACCATATCTAGTAGTACCTGGCATGCAGGGGCTGCAATAGTAAATAACATCTACTGACGTTTCAGTTCAGTATGCGCTCGCATCTACTTACATAGCTTATGGCGGCCATGTGAGAGATCAAGGCCATGCGAGAGATCAAGTTAAGCTTCTTGGAGGGATAAGGTAGATGTACATGCACACACTAATGCAGACAGACAGACATAAGTACATGCAACGCAACAGCTATGCAGACAGGCAGGCAGGCAGAACACATACATGTGCACGTGCAGACTCGGGCACATACATACGTACATCTACATATTGACATGCATGCACGTGCGCATGTGTACCAGCTTCGAAGATGAACGTACTGAATGCTATGCGCAATGTATACCCTGTGGAGAACATCCCTGCAACTGCAGCAATCTTATCCCATTACGCATACTGCTTGTTATAGTATTGTAGCATAAGAACGGGAGCATTCAATAGCAGGGGTGGGGGGTGTATAACCAATATCCGACAGATATCTGTCCTCCCCAGGCGCCATGCGGGCGAGTTTGAGCGCATCGTCGTTTCTGACGTTGGTTTCTAGCATGGAAGACAGGCTTTGGGGCAGCTTTAGCTCTTGCCAGCAGACATGGGCCTTGTTTGAGTACCGTCCTGTGATGCAAATAGAATTGAGCAAGACATAATCTAAGAGGTGGCAGCTTGGGACTTGTTTGCCTGGGAACATGCGAATTCATGAGACTAGCGCAGGCGTCAGTGTCTTGAGTCAAGACGTTAAAATTTCAAGAGAAGTCACATTTGGCCTGTGTAGTCTCCTTGTCTGATGCTCCAACAAAGCGAGGGGCAAACAGCTGCGCCAGGCATTGCACTTGACATCTGTCAGGTTCTTGTCTACAGCGATATGTCAACCTGTTGCTGGAAGAAGTGGACCCCCTAGTTATGAAGCACCCCTGTAGTCCTCAGTAGTATAGCAGAACCATACAGGTGAGCAGCATGTTGCAAGGCTTGCCTTGCGGACAAACGTCAAAAGGTGACACATTTCCTTGATGCCGCCAGCGTTCGCTCAAGTTGCACACAGACAGCTTTGATCCTCCAGCGTGTTGTTTTCCGCGATGCCGATGAAATTGCTCGCGTCTCAGATGCTTGCGACTGGTCTGGTGCAATGATCTTGGCACGCAGAGCTGTAGTTCAATCACATCGACGCATTTGATGTCAGCAGTTTTTTCTTCAGATTTTCACCAGCTGTTGCTTCAAACTACCAATCCTCAACTGCCCACAACCCCTAAATTCTTTACGGGCTCGCACAGTGTGCAACCCTCCCATGGAGAGTCAGTGCATGGGTGCGCGCAACGTCCGTGATATACCCAAAGCTGAAAAAACAGAAATCCGAAAGCTCAACACCCTTTAGGCGGTCGCACTTGAAACTTAAGAGGTACGCGAACCCCTCCAACTACAAGACAAAGAAAGCCCTCATTTGCGCGAAGTACGTCGGCTTGGAAGCCTTGGCCCTGGTAAATTTTGATAGTTTTTTTCCTTGTGAGAATGGCTGGGATGATACAGCAAGGATCATGTAGATTTAGGGTTGAGGGTTTAGGGATCATAGGGGTTATAGTGGAGATTAGGTATATTGTGGCTATAGCTATAGGTTTAGGGTTTAGGGAGGAGGATGTAGGTTTAGGGATGATATAGGATCATCACGGGGGTTATACTTGTGATTGATGTATACCCCAACAATGGAGAATTACATGAAAACTCATATGGAAGATGTAATGGAGTTGGGGGCACCAGGGTTATGACGAGGCTTGCTGGTTGGTAGCTTGTCATGGAAGAATGGAAGAGAACATGGAAGCCATTAGCAGGTTCAGGGTTTAGGGGTTGAGGGGACATTAGTGACCCTACCGTGATCAACATGACGGTTTCCACAATGAGAGGTCCGCTTTGGAGGTTCCTATAATAAGGATTATCTTTCTTTGGAGGAGGACGGAGCCCGATTCCCGGAAATGCTCATCATATGGCACCCAAGCTCCTTTAACAAAGACTTGCTGGTTGATGGTGGGGAACGAAAATATGCATTCCTGTAGGAACTGCATATAATCCCATAATATCATCGATTTCCATTTTCTTTTCCAACATTCCCTGCTCACAACGAGCAAGGAGATCCCAAATCTTTAGCTTTGAGCAGGAAGAGTTGTCACTGATGTACCAGACATGTCCATAACAAAGGTAACAATGCTCACAATCATGATAGTAATGAACAACCTGCACTTTCTGCATGTCCGATCAATTCTACATTCTACAGAACGGAACTGCGTCTAGTGGACGTTGTCGCTTCAAGTCTTTACACGTAACACGCCAGGCCGTGCGTGTCGCTGCGGATTAGAAGGATGGAAACAAGATGGAGCATGATATGGCAACTGGGGTTATATAGGGGATTATTTAAGAAACCCTCTGCATTATCTCTGCATGCCAGGTGGAGTCGCCGAAGTCTTCGGGAGATGATAAGGTGGAACTTGGGTTGGAGAGTCATATAGGGCTCAGAGCCACCTTCCGATGCAGGCAATATGCAGAAGATTCTATGTTGAAGTCCGAAGCTTTCTGCAAATAGTTGCAACAGCTGGCCAGAAAGGGATTCGGCTTCAGAATCACACCTTCATAGACTACAGAAACTATTCGCCATGAGTATGACGTAACACAATGCAGGCAGCGGTTCCATGTCACGGGCACAAAGTTGCGAGTTGCTGGCAGGGCCGAATCCCAGTCCTAGAGACCGAGAAAGGGTGCATCTTTTCGTCCATGGCGATTGCCAGGCCCATGCACCTGCACCTGCCTGTTCTTACTAGGGAATAAGGAAGGAAAAAGAAGACAGGATTGTTCAGGGGATATGCATACATACATGTAAATGCATTTTTAATGCTTCCCCCCATCATCCACTTTTGGATGTTGGGAGGGTTGAGAAAAGCACCGTAATGCACAAAACACTCAAAGAACTCATTGAAAAACCTAGCAAAACGCCGTACTTCACATAAAATCACAAATGTTCATTTGACAAGCCTGACCAAAGGCTGGAATGCACAAAAAGCTCAAGACTCTAGATATTTCAGACACCTTGCCCTATGGCCGAATGGTTGCAGGCATAGGTCCCCAGATTCATCGTTTTTTTTTCTTTCTGTGCACTACAGTATTTGGTGAGGTCGTCGACGAAAACAAAAAGCTTTTGTGCGTTACAGCATTTTGTGAGATGCTCCTATCATTTTTTGAACTTCTTGTGGATTGCAGAATTTTGTGAGATGTTTCAATGAAAATCTTGAGTTTTGTGTGCATTACAGCATTTCGTGAGGTTTCAGGTCACCAAATGCTGGTATGCTCAGCAAGCTTCAGACAATAGGACAATGTCACGACATGCCTTCAGGCACAGGAAATTCAATTGATTCAGCAAATTCAAGTAAACGAAACAATGAATCCAGTTACCTCGTGTAATTCAATAATAGATATGCATGAATTCAAGCATTTCAATATATGCAGCTAATTGACTCAATTAATTTACTTCATGGATTCAAGCAAATCATTTAGATGGTTCGTATTCAACCTGATTCAACCTGGCTAAATTTCACAAAACTAGTACGGAAATCCTGGAATCCTGGATTCCTGGTTTTGGAGCTGGTTGCGGTTCATATAAATCCCTTATCAAATTCAAGTAAACTAATACGGCAACCCTGGAATCCTGGACTCGTGGTTGTTGAGCCGGTTTCAGGTCCATATAGATCCCTTACTACAGTCCGTTAATATGAATACGGACATTTGGACGAGGCTGTTTCCAGTCCATGTAAACCCCTCGTTAAACTCTATTAAAACCAATTCGCAAATCCTAGAATGCTGGTTTTGGATCTGGTTCCGGTCCATGTGAAGCCCTTATTAAGTAAAACTAGTATGGACATCTTGGAATGGATTCCTGATTTTCCAGTTCTGAGAATGAGAGCATTGCACCATGCAATTGTACACATACTGGAACCAAAAGCAGCTTTAGAGAACATGAGTGATGCGCTTAGGTTACCTTATGGAAGCAAGATGTGGGGAAACAGATTCCTTTTTAAGATTTTTATGGGCTGAGATGTACACATGTCACATCTTGTGTATGAGTCATGAACATAACTCGAATGCAGAAAACACTGCAAGCGCCAGTGTTTTTGGATTAGTTTTTACATGCCTGCATTCTAAGGACTTTACGAGGGACCCCTAATAGGGACCCTTGTAGCTTATCTGGGTTAATAAGGGGAGTACCTAGGGATATAGGGGTTATATGATGACTATATAAGAGTTATATATGGTAATGGGATTAAGGGTCCCTATTAGTGGTCCCTCCTAAAGTCCCTAGATGCATGACTCGACTCATAGGACGGCAAGAACATGAAAGAATAACAACGAGATTCATGGCTGGGATCATGTGTATATATGTGTATATATATATATCTGTATAGCATTAGGGTACAGCAGCCTAGAGTCGGAGCTTTCTGCCGGGAAGCTTTGAGGCGCCACACTCATATGGCTATTAGGTTTCTAGCTCGTGCTTTCTGCCTTTTTGAGATTCACGATGGTCTCTGCAGTGATGGGGGACAAAGTTTGGCAGCTGAAGAATCCTTGCATAGATGCGCTTTCCATTCGATTTTGGCCTCCTGCATACTGCCGCAGACCCGCAGGTACATCTCTCGTATAAGCCGCCCTCTCGGCCACTTGACAAGCCATTCTTCTCTATTTGTTTTTTTGTTGCTGCTGATGGGCGCCTGGCATTGCTGATAGTGGTTTTACCGCGAAACCTGGGTTTGGTTTCGTGTTGTGAAGATGAGGACTCTACGGACAGAACCTCCTTGAAAGTGGTATGATCGACTCCTGGTGCGAGTTCTGCGCCAGGCTCAGACGGGGAAATAAAGAGCCTCAGATACCTGGGTATTGGCTCACTCTTGCTTCTCATTGTGAGATCTTATAATGTAAGCAACTGATGTCGTATAGCCAGCACCCAGGTACTAGCGAGCTGGAGATTCCTCTGTGCACTTGGGTGATGCCTCTGATGGGCGAGATGCCGGAGGCACAGACCTTGAGCAGGTGCTTCTTGACAGCCCTGACCCCGTTGTTGTCCTTTCCATGTAATTTTGAAAATTTAGGAGATTGAGGGGACATCCTCAGATGTGTACAGATTGTGAGGGTACGGGGGCGCGGCTCTGGTACGGATGAATTGGGAGTTTCCATGAAGTGGGCGGCTTTGGAAATCCTAACCACCAACCCCTAAATGTATCCCGATCTTCCCCTGGAAACGCTATAAAATACATATGATGCATATCCTTGAACGTTTTTCTCCAAAGCTGCCATGAGAAGCCTGCCAGGTACCAGAGGCCACGCAGTTCGCCAAGGAGGATGCCCTGCGAGCAATGTGCCCGGGATGACAAGCAGCCCGCCATGGGGTAAATGTATTGTGAACGTACATTGAAGAAAACATTCCGCTCAAACACAAAACCCTCTTTGGGGAGTTTTGCACCCCAACATGACATGACTTACGCATACCGCATACCCCTTTGGATTCCGAAGTGGTGCTGCGTAGATGCCAGAAGATGGACGGTCGGCAGGGTGTATGGTTGGCTCTATTGGCTTTGGCCGTGTGACGATGACTGACTCTCAGGGCAGTTCGTTCCGAACAAACCCAAGAAACCTCAAACTCTCGCTTACAAGAGCAGCTTTCCAAGGACCATCCTGGACAAGCATCTGCTGAACAACACCTACATGGTGGGCGCTCCCGATGCAGAAGTCTAACGGGCTGGCTCATGACATGTAAATCCACGCAGGCATACCGCCCAACTTTGCAGATATCTGACCAATGTTCCATGAACCCGAGCGTCCCAGGACATACGATCACTCTCGCCGACATTTCAGTGTGCTGCGCTCTCGTGGACGGCATGCAGAAAGTGTTCGATGAGGGCATTCGCAAGGAGCAGCTCGTCTTGGGTTTCGGGTCACATTGGATGTCCTTTGGGAGCAGAAGCTTTGTGAGGCAATGCTGCAAGCAGTGTGTGTGGGGCCTTTGAGCCTCTTCAGGTACAACAACCTGATGCGATGGTTCAACCACTGCATTGCGACGCCAGAGTTCAAGTCCGTGCTGGGCGACGTGAAGCTCTGCGGTAAGGTGCCAGGGACGGGTTTGGGAATCATTTCCTAAGGGCATGTTATTTTTCGAACCTAACTTGGGTCTGCAGTCTAGTAGGTCAAGCCAGCTCCAAGCATTGAGACTGTTGCCTCCACTCCAACGTTTAACAGGTATGCTTATCAAAGCAGCCTGGGCAACGCTGGACAGTGTTGTTTTGGCTGCTGCGGGCAGTGTGGTCAAGCTAGGTTGATTCTGGGAATCTTTCAGGGCTCTTGAAGGCAAATTATTGGCCCTTTGCACTGGGAAACGTCTAGCGGAAGCCTCCTGAGCAGGGGCCTCTATCCTTGGGACTGCCGGCAGTCATGGAGCGGGTTCAAAGCTAGGCAGCGGACAAGGCTTTTGAGTCTCATGCCAGGTAGTTGGGACTATCTCAAACGAACCCTGTACAATCCATTAGTCCAGATCCGCATCATCTGAGACCCTGATCTCAAAACGCACGAATCTGCAATTTTCCTGTCTTATCTTTATAGGCACTCTGCAAAGCAGATTCACTAGATCCTTCCATCCTCCCTGAAAGATTGGCTAGTTTAGCAGACCCCCTACCCCCCACAAATTGCTTAGCTGGAGGGTGGTTGTGGTTGTGCACAGGCCGCTGGCGGTGCAAAGGGTGGCAAGGCAGGTGCTTCAACCTTCTCTGATCCGGGTGTTTCTCAAGATGATCCGTATGTTATCCAGCCTTAATGGGCCTTAACGGGATCCCAAGAATCCTCTTATAGTGCTTGCATGCTGAGGTAACCCTTGTATAGCCTCAATGTGAGGTAGGCTGCTTGTCATGGTTGCGGTGAGTGCCGATGGACTTGTATGTACGGGCCCTCTATTACCGGAAACCGTAGAAAACATCCTACCTCAGATGCACGACAACAACCGATGACAGGAGAAGGCCGAGAAGCCTGCCCCCAAGGCGCGGGTTAGGGTTCGGCAAAAATGCAGGGATAACTTCCTTCAATAGCCCCTATGGTAGCTTCCACTCAGTTAAGGGGCGATGCTCTTCTTGATGCAGCTGGCAGGAGAAGGCAGAGAAGCCTGCTCCCAAGGCGCATGGGCTTTCAGAACATGATAGTTTCTCACATGACTCTTGTCTAATTGTTAATGAATGGGCACATCCACAATTCACTGTGTATACCCATGTGTAAGCTTTCTGTGTAAACCTGGTCTACAAGAAAGTTCTGTTGTTGGACTACCTTCCTGTGATTCCGAAGATTGGGGGGTTTGTTTCTGGGTCCGTAGAACAAGTGGTTGCATTACATGAGGGATTCAAAAAGGGTACCCTCTCATGAAGACGCAGCCTCCCACGCATTCCCGGCGCCTTGGCTGCTCAGGAGCATACATCCTCATTTGCATGGCCACACACATTCAAAAAAGCGTACCCCCCAATTTTTGGAACCTACCATGTAGTTGTCAGGAGAAGGCTGAGAAGCCTACCAAGGCGCATGGAGTCAATCCTTTCCTTTGGACTTCTTTGGGGCTTAGGGCCTAGGGTTCAGGGTTTGGGGTTCGGGGTTATTAGACCTGGCAGCTTCACATGGGCCAGGAGAAGGCAGCACCCAAGGCCGGCAATTGCAGTCATGCACATAAATATAACATAGAAACCTGCACAAACTGCACATAGATACATACATATATATATATACATATACACATACACACATACACGCAAAGAGCACATAAGCATACATAGCTAGACATACTAGAGAGAGAGAGAGACAGACAAAATGTATATATATATATATATTTGTATCTATGTCGGTTTGCGCATTGCAGTTTTAAGCTAGCTACACAGATTTTATTGGGCAGGAGAAGGCCGCCCCTAAGGCGGGGAGTTGATCTGGCAAGGATAAAGGGATCTCTAAGTTACTGACATATATACCCCTATATAAGCCCTATAATCCCTACATAATCCCAATATATATATATGTGTGTATATATATATATATACGTACCGTATAATCCCGATATAACCCCGAAACTATCCCTATAATCCCGAATCCCGAAAGCTTCCATTTTCTTTTCCATTATCCCAATAGCACCCCAATATTACCCCAACGGGTACCTATATCCGCGTAAGGTTCCACACTATAAGTGGGACAGGGTTAAGTGACTAGTAATACTCATGGTTCCAGTGGGAAGTGCGAAAGTTGGAGCCACGCAGACCTACATACCACAAACACTGCTTGGGACGGAAGCAGTCATGAAGGGCACCATCATGTTCTTGGGCCAGTGGGTCTACCTGAACTCTCTGGCTGAAATCTTGATTGACATGTGCAATGCTTCTGGCAAGACAAGGCCCCATGAGATTGCTTTCCATACTCTAGGCCTGGAACAAGATGAGTAGACACAGAGTGTGGAATAAACATCTGCTTTCATATTGGGGGATATAAGGGGATAATGGAAAATAAAATGGAAACTACTACAATGGGGTTAGAGAGGGTTGAGGGCTTTCCTTTTCAGCCTTGCATGAGCCATGGGCCGCCAGGAGAAGGCTGCACCGAAGGCGAAGAGAAGAGGGGTATTCTAGGCATAAGTCTAGTTGCAGAAGGCTGAATGGTCACCAGTACCATCCCCTGACGATCCTCAGATCATTATTCAGCCCACCCCAAACCTATTTCTAATAGTTTAGGCTCTAAGATTGCTCAAGTACAGTAAAGATCATAGCCAAAAGGCCATGTGTACTGGTGAGAACGCTCGTGTCGGATAACGTATTTAATCACCGTGCGCAATGACTACATATGAGTTTGGATTGGATTGGTGAGCACTGGGGAGTTTGAGCCAGGGATGGCCTTGCTAGAGGATTGCGGCAGCGTTCGGTATGGAGGGCGACTAGCAGGGGAGTTTTGGAAGTGGGGTTTCCTCAAAACCTGACTGCAACATCATGATCCTTGCTTGTGAAGCCGCAAGGCTCCCTACTTGCATAGTTTGGCAGTCCTTATACAGGCCAAGGCTACATTCTCTATGTCCTCCACCGCTTTAAAGGAGCATGTTCTGGGAGCCAGGACAAAGCTGGCAAGAAGGACAAGGGCAAGGCACCCCCTTTGCTCCATGTCTGCAGGGTATATGGTCTTGGGCCGAAACTACGCAGGGATTTCCAGACGAGATGTTCCCTTGATTAGATCATTAGGCTCATGAGGCATTCTTTGCTTGGAGTCATTGAGTCCCACTTAGAGGTTCTTTGAGGATAGTTTTGGAGAAGCTTCCAGATCAGACAATGGGCTTAGGGTTTGGGCTTCGAGCTGTTCACCTTGTCATCTCTTCTCTTTCGGCAGAAAAAGTGAAAGTTCTCTTGTCTGCGTGGCGTGAGGTAAGCCTATTTTTTGCAGGGCCCCTTAGATGCCCGCAAGTGTTGCAATGCATATGATAATTGGGGACTCCCAAGCAGTGACCAACTCCTTTGGCAGCCTAAGAAATTTGCGTTTGAGCCAGCAAATGAAGCCCAGATCCACATACCTTGCTCCCAAAAACATGGAAATAGCTTTGTGAAGGCCACTGCCCTTTAAAGGCGTCTAGGGGTACTCCTTGCATGGATACTGATTTTGTTTGTTTGCTGCAGTTGAAAGCCAGGAGGAGAAAGCTGAGAAGGAGGAGGAGAAGAAGGAGCTGACGCCCGAGGAGCTCGAAAAGCAAAAGAAGGACAAGCTGAAGAAGGCTCAGCGTCTCCCGTTTCGGAGGATCCCTCCGTAGACCACTGAAAGGATTGAGGCTTATGGCTCCGGGTGGTTCTGGTGGGTGGAATTCGGGTTTGGGGGTCGGCATGTGTGCTAGAGATTCACTCTGGTCAGTTGGGCATGAGATCATTCCTACGGGAGGTTGTGCTGTAGCAAGTTTTAATTTGCTTCTCTTCGACATCAAATATGTTTCTTTACATGCATAAGCATCTGCAAAAGGCGAAGCTCTAAGCCCCAAAACCTAATCCCCTTGCTATATGTTATACGATTGTTTCCAGAACCAATGCCAAAACATTCCTGCAGGTCATCAAGGAGGGTGGAAAGCGAGGCTCAGAAACCTGTCTAGCAGCCAAGCACCGTGATTTGATGACTGGTGCTGAAGTGGGAGAGGGGGCCTAAATGTAGGTACCGTGATGGGGGAGTATGCAGGGATTCGACAATGAGTTGCCGACTACTGCGGGCATTCCAGGGTAACATTATTGAATGCTCGCCCGGGATGTGTAAGGAGGTCATGTCATCTAGGCAAAGTTTTTTGGATTAGTGAATGCAGTCACTCAGAACGCAAGGCAATCGTGCTGATGAGACTTGCGAGCAAAAATCCTAAATGTTTGAGCTTGCAGTTACTTGCAGGAGTGGAGATTGAGGGGGCAGCCGACATGGGTATGACACTCAGTCGTCTACTGTTGAGATCAAGACAGTAGTGAAGCAGCTCTTTGAGGTTGCTTTGCTTGTGCAAGCAAAGCTGCCACTGCCAGAGCAGGATGGATATAAGATATGTACTAATGTGGTAGGTGGCCTCACATACCACCGGGGCTCCTAAGAACCAGTTGGCCAAATTCCCACTTGAAGATACAGAATGCATAGTAGGGCATTGTAGGGTATGGATTGATAAGCTCCAGGGATGCCATTTTTGTGATTATGCGAAAGTGCGCGTGTGGCTGTCCGCGTTCCTTTGCTCAGTATTTTCTACAACTTTCACATCATTCTGCGGGATGCATTGGATCATTCCCCCATGAAGGGGTTATTATAACTCCTGTTACTTACTGTCGCAACTGTGACTGTCAAGGGGGAATGACCTAAGCCAAAGACCTGAGGGATGCAGCTCTTACTTCTACACAGGGGTCGTGGCGTTAGCCTACTAGACAGATAGCCCCACATGATACCTTCATACCTTAGGAAACAGCCCGTCATGCCCCAGCACAAAGCCAGGACTTTGCATAAAACACCCGTCCTTGCATGAGCTTAGCCATTTCGAGTTTGGTTTTAAGGTCATAGGTTTCACAGTTTGGGATGGTCCTCAGCTGGAATCAGATGATAGGTTGGCCGAAGAACCTGCCTTCTTTTGTTCTTGACTCCAAATGGGGCCACACTCAACATGATGGGCCCTTTCGAACGCCATTTATGTAGTGCACCACCTATGACTTGAGAGTCTTAACCTGGGACCCTTAACCTCGACATAATCTCCATGCCACCCGACCTGTGTATTATGTTCCCACAGTGATCTCCTCGGAATCCCTGAGATAAAAGTTATCCCTAATAGAATCTCTTCATAATAGACTCCTTACAGAAATTCTGCGTATGCTTCCTGTATCCTCTCTCTCGGCAGTCGGTACATCACTCCCGCAACTTGCCCAAGTGATTTCCGCATAAGAACTACATAATCCATGTCACTCCGAACCCTTAGGCAATTGTGCGGCTTCTATTAAATTATGGAGGAAACATTGATTTTGGCTCCTATCATCCCTTGAGGCGGCTTACAGTTCTTCTGCACTGCTGTGGACCTTCCGGAGGGGGACCTGGCGGTGGCCCCGGTGTTCTATGTCGGCTGACGGTAAGGAACCAGTGTTTTCATTTGTTTGCTGTTTGGTCTTTTTTGTTGTTAGGCCCAAAGCCCAGACAGGCAGGCCGGAAAGTGAACTCCCGTCCGCCGCGCAAACAGCAAAAAACGAACAAGCCCCCTCCCAAACAGAATTCAAAACGAAACCCGGGCCCAAGCAGCAAAACAAACAAGCTCCCCGCCAAAACAACAAAAAAACACGCCACCGTCTTGACAGCAAAAAAACCCATCCAAGGCCAAACAGCAAAAACACTTACCCGCCCAACAGCAAGCAAACAAACACGCCCCGGCACAAACAGCCAACAAAAAAACATGCTTATTGTTTGGGCGGGGGCGGGGCTTATGTGAAGCACCCTTTTTTCTCTCAAAATCAAGCTCTGGCGTGGAGGGATGAGGGAAAGGGGTGGGGGACGTGTTTTTTTTGATGTTCGGGCGGGGGCGTGTTGTTTTTTTTCTGTTTGGGCGGCGGCCACGCCCCTGTCCAAACGGCCAAAAACAAACGTGCACGCGCCCAAACAGCAAAAACACGCCCGAAAAGCTCAAAAGACAAAGAAGACCAGACAACAAACAAATACTCTTACCCTAACTGCAATGTAGAGGCCCAACTGCTTTTCCATTAACTATGGTCCTCGGTCCCTCGCATCATTCTAGTATAGGGTACGCCCCTGCCCAAACAGCAAAAAGGAAACGTCCCCGCCCAAACAGCAAAAACACACCCGAAAAGCCCAAGCAACAAAAACATACCTTTACCCTAACTGGGGGCCCAAATGATTTCCAATTATGGTCCTCGGTTCCTGGCATCATTCTAGTATAGGTATCTCACATAGATTCAATAGATCTCAAAACGAGTTTTCTTCTGAAGAGGTTCCGGGAGAGCCCTGTATGAGAGACGTGCGAGGAGGTAGAGGGTTAGGGTTCAGGGTTTAGGACTAAGGGATTTTCGGATTCATTGTTTGTGGTGACTGCCCGGATTGCAGGGAGCATAAGGCTGAGTAAGGATTGATTGGAGGATTCATGATTTGGCCCACTGCGCAGAGCAGGAAGCCCCGAGATTGCCACGGGGTGAGGTGTCAAGAACCAGCTGGGGTCAAACTCCAGGCCCCGTGAAGGTCAGCACAGCTATTGACCCATGGGCTGAGCAGGTAACAACTCTCATGGCGACCATGGCAACACCAAGGACCTTCTGATTGCGTCGATGGAAGCGATGAACGCAAAGAGCGATCCGGGTGAGGAGGAGAAGTCAGATTGGTCTTGAGCAGTAGGAGAAGTCAGATTGGATTGAGCAGTATCGACGTCTGATCCTCTTGCACAGCGTCAAGGCAGGCATGACTTCTGCGAAATCAATCATTCTGAGTGCCAACACACAACACTTGACTAAGCGCCGCTTCAGTCTTAAGTGCCAAAGTTCAGCTTGTCCGAAGAAGCTTCTGCTGTGCCAGTTTCCATTTTCTTATGCATTGTCTCCATATTAAGGGTAATATCCCCAAGTAATCCTCACACACAAGACATACTGACTTGGAATTGAACAACTTGTAGAAGATGCATCGATGCGTGGAGGAGCGCAAAGGCGGATCTGGGCACATTGGCAGCCCGGCCTTCGTTTTTCTTACTGGCTCTTAATGGGAATAAGGGAATATAATGTATAGGGATTACGTGGGATTATACTCCTCCATTTCCTACTGAAAACCAGTAAGTTTTTACAGTCCTGCGCTGGAGCCGCTTGAACCTGCGCCTTCGTGGGTT